CCTTAGAGCTAAAGAAGGTTTTGAAATCCTGAATCCTAAAAGCCAGAGTAAAAAAGAGAAGGGGGGGGGGGAAGTAAACCTCTGTAGATTTAAGAGCTTTTAGTACAGCTATAAAGATTGTTTCAGAGCCTAACTTATTATCTTTGACTACTTTGGGGAAAAAATACTGCAGAAGTCACCACCTACAACAACTTTATAAGTGTCTGGATGAGAGGAGGAGAAAGGCAAGAAGCTACAAAAGCTCAGGAAGAAGACAGTCTTTAAAAGACCACCTAGCCACAGAATTAGAAAAATTTAAGAACTCTAGACATTAGGAGGAGGCAGTATAGACATACAGAGAGAGACTTAATCAAATGAGTATAAAGTAAAGGGAAAGGCTGGAAAAAGTAAGAAAGAATCACTTCCCTTTGGTATGGAAGTAGGGAAAATTGGAGAGCTGAAGTAGGGCAGTAAGAGAAAAAGTGAATAATCTGAAGTTGATTATAGATCCATGCCAACTGGAAGAAGAGAAATACCAAATGCCAACATGGTAATATTAATCTGAGGAATGAACAAATTATGAAATTCCAAGATGAACAAAAGAAAAAACCCCAAGTTTTGTCAAATCTCAATTTACCTTGTTATTATTAAGTACTGATTGGTTCAGTACAAAACAGATTAATATTTAAGGCCAGATGAGTGTCTGGTAAATGTCAGATTTCTTTTCTGTTTAATGAAGTGCTCGCTTTGCATCAAGTAAAATATTTAATTCATGTTTACCTTCTCAACCTAGGGGTCATTTGAGCCCTTCAATAAATGGGGAACCTTTCCTTCAGTAAGGAACCATGAAAGTAAAGAAAGCTGAAACGTAATTGTGTGAAGGAAAACTGGAATATAATTGTGTGAAGGAAAAAATATAGTTAATTCAAGTAAAGCACTTCTGACATTATATTTTTATATATTTGATAAATTCTGACATTCAATGCTTTCCTTTCAAAGCAAATGATAGATTATTACATTGTAATAACTGCAGATGGTATAAAAAGCCTTTCAAATACAAATTGGAGCTGTGTTTTCAAACACCTGAGAATAAACACTGATCTCTTTTGGACCCTGTGCAGACTCCTGACTAGATTCCAGCTTCCAGACATCAAATCAGTTCTCTCCACAGAGATACATAACTTCTCGCATTAGGAGGGGGATAGAGTACATTTCTGAGTTCTCTGGAACCTGACCTGAAAAGACCATGAATCAAGATCCACATCAGGTTTTGATAACCTAACACAAATAAAATCTAAAGCAGAGTTTAGAGTGAAAGCAGTAGTAGATAAGCAACCATTAACTTTTCAAACATAAAGCAGAATTATTTGTAAGTTTGATAAGCTTCTGAAGAGTTATATTACAGTACTACAGGAAGAAAAGTGCAATCATCCTCTGCTGTGCAGAGCTAGGTATTTGCTGTCAGTTGAATTGCCTTGTTAAATGTGGCAGAATAAAAGCACTTTTCCATAGTGCAATCAGAATCACTAATTCCTAAACCTTTACAAGGATTAGGAGCAAGAAAGAAAACAAATCAGCAGAAATAGATCAGAGACTTTAAAATGAAGTGCCATAGCTCTTGAATGCCAACAAAAGCTCATATAACCAAATACTGAATGTCCGACAATTGTATCTCTAGTTAGTTCAGAAAAAAGGTCAGAGAGAGGGAGAGAGAAAGTAAATGCAAACGGATAGGGTGCTAACTGAGAGAAACCACGCTTATATATATATATAGTCTTATATTCTAGACTCCACTCCAGTCAGTCTGCTGGCTGACACGTTCTGCTGCAGGAAGTTTCCTCAGCAACAGTGAAATATAGGGTCATTTTAATGTCAGCTGTTTTCAGTATAAAACTGTGATTTTACACAGATTTCTTTATAACCACACCAAACAGTAATACACATACAGGACCAATCCCACTCTGTGTTTGCATTAAGGCTTAGAGCACTGTTGTGAATTATGGACTACTAGGAAAAGGAGAGAGAAGAGTTAAGGAGACCATTGCAAGTAGATACTTTGCATATTTTTTTTAAACAAAAACAAAAAAGTGGGAGAAAGAACAAGACATCTTGTAGAATAGATTTTTGTCTTGTTAAGATCTAATGTCTCATTATTACAGGTTAACACAGCACTCTCCATTATTAACATCACCCACAAGTTGCTGCATATGCTATATAAAGAAAACGCTACTTGTTTTCTTTCAAAACATTTCTGATTTCTCCTAAAGGGGTTTTAGTTTCGGATTTTTTAAGCTATAGGCTAAACCAAGTAATTGACACTGGCTGATATTTTCAGTGATATTCAGGATCAGCCTGACTCACCTTCTACTACAGCCCGTGGTAAATTATTATCAATTTTCCTCAGGAGACTTTGAGAACTTCTCATACTCTCTCAGTACATTCAGTTGATCCCATCCATTCAGTGTCCCTGTGCTTTACACGTTGGAAATTCATAGTTCTCTTCTCCTGTCCAGCTTGGCACCAAAAGCTTTTGAATCAGAACAAAAGAGTAATGGCTTAGACTTACCGTATGGTCAGCTCAGACTTGATAGCTGAAGATGGCTGTATGTGGAATGGAAAGCATTGTTCATAAAAACGCCCACCACCACAAAAAGGTTGAATTGCATGCAGTGTGCAACAATTTGAAAAGGTGGAATTTCACAGCATGAAAGAACAGACAAATTAATGCTCTAGAAGCTCCAGTCTCTACCCTCTTGGATGTACTTTATAGCATCAGAAAGCCAATGAGAATAATCAATATATAAATATATATTTTATATATAGTAGTGGAGTATGAGCCCAGATAAACTGCCTTCTGAATTTTATGTGTGAAGAATTTAGGTGTTAATTCAAACTAAGTAATCTACATAAATATAAGGGGAGATGTTTGCACTTTTCACACAAGTCAGCACACTGGGTTAATGTAACTCCATAACTTAACTAGTGGGTAAGGAATGTAGCTCCATTAAAACATTTTGTATAACAAGAATGAGGCCTTTTCTAAAATATTGTTTTTCCAGACAGAATAATTTTACATAGCACTTTGCACTCCAAACAATTATTTTTTAAAATTCATAAATAAATTTGATTTCAAGCAACAGAAACTCAGTGTCAATATTATGCTACCACTGATACACAGTCTAAAGATACTATGTTTACAAGAGAGGAGGAAATTAGCTTTAATTATAGTCACCTTGACCAAACACAGAATTTCCTTTCTCTTCCTAAATAAAAACTAATTTTACTGTATAGTCAGATAATTCATTGGTTTACTCTTCTAAACCAAGCTGTTCTACTGAGATTTTTTTTTTAGTTTTTCTAGTCCATTTCATGCCTTTTTATAAATGATCTTAAAAAAAAAAAAGTATTATTTATTGTGAAGAAGATGTAGAGTGATTCAGCAACTTAATTAGAGGTCCCATATAGTGCAGCTTTAAGTAATTATCCAAATACAACAAGAAGTTTCATAGCTTCCACAGAAAATACACTTCTTGTCATTAAAAAGCTGATGTCTTACGAATTGCCTATTTACATGTCAGAAGTGGCGAAACCCTCCAGCGGATACTGAAATACATCTAGCAGCAAAATTTGTGCCAGTACCCTGCGATACAGGAGTAGCAGCTACAACCAGATTACAATATTAAGACTGTGTACTTTTGCTAAAACACTGTTGACTGTGCTTTGAAAGTGGATTCATGACAATTCCAAGCCAAACTCACCTGAAATTCGGAAAACGAAGAACAGTGTTCGAGGATTCTGGGCAAGTCAATTGAGCACTGAATTTCCACATTTTGATATGTCAGGAAAAAAAACCTTGTTCTCTGAAGCAGTAATGCTTGGGGTAAGAGTATTTAATTGACCTTGCAATGTTCAACCAGCATAGCGAATGTAATTACAGATTATGCCAACACAACCAATAAATATCACTGTAGTACCTGTTTCTAGGAAGCCACTGATGGTGACATCCAGACAAAAACTACATATGATAAAGAAAAAAAAAAAAATCTTCCGGATATAAACTAATTCAGGGGGAAAAAAAAAAGAAATCATTTTCCCCAGTATGATTACACTAGGCACTCCTCTGTACATCTTCCTTAATTCCTGCATGAGCTGCTGGAGAACTTCTGAAGCAATGTTTGCTTCTCCTCACATACAGATGGATGGGAAACCAGTGGATAAGGAATTTCTGTATAAATAGAAAGAAGAGAGAATCTTTCCTCTGCTAACACACAGAAAGAATAGCCAGTTATAAAGACGTAGTAATTTGCGTTGGTATAATATTCATGGCGATTAGGCTGGGGAGGAAGTGCACAGTTCACAGAGTTCAATGGTCACAGTCATCCAATTAAAGAACAGGTAAATATATCCAATTTCATTCTTATTGTACTGTTATAAGCTGATATGTAAAAGAACCTTTCAATACATACTGAGAGTTCTTTTATGGAACCATTATGTGCAAATCAACTTAGAACCTGCACTGGTGCTCAGAAGTAGAAACTTTCAAAATTAAATTCCTGACTCCTCTGCTATCCCTGCAACCTTCCTTATTTTCTTTTAAGCCCCTGTTCTGTGCTAGTGCAGAACTTTAGTAGTTTAATTAGACTTAACAGAAAGAAATAACTTTCCAAATACATACTTGCAATAAGATTTTGGGGTGCACATGCAAATTTTGGCAAAACCACCAACTTTTGCATTTCAAGTTGCAAACACAACTAATGATGACCAGAAGAATGGAGGGTTCCAAATGAAAGGTGGTTTTTTTTTTATTTTACTGAGCCACTTTACATGGACATTTACAATTGCTAGGTATTTTTGTGGCAAAAACACTTAGGAATGTGTAACCAATTCCCACTTAAATGTGAAATATATGTCAGAAATTTCTAAGAGTTTCTCACAGAAAATACCTCTCACCTTCTTTCACTGTCTGTTTCTCTTGACGTATTGAGAAGCCAAGTGTGCTAACCTACCAATTATTATTTCAGGTCAAACCACTAATAATTCAGTGGGTGAGATATCTATACAGGTGGATGTCTCTACGCATCCTGGCACTGGTGAGCATAAAGTCATTGTAAAAGGTAAGTTTCAAACAGCTAATTTTAAAAAGAAAGCAACAACAAAGTCCAAAACTTCCACTACATCCTAAGTAAAACATACCGATAATGAACTGACAAATGTTAAGTACTACAATACTTGCAAAGCTGTACGTACGCTTCAGGTGATTATGATTGTACTTTTTCCTTGCTCAACCATCAGCAGAAAATTATGCAGGTAAGTACTATCTATGCTTCTCTGTGTAGACAGATATAATTTATTATATGAAGTTAGAGAGTTATACGTTCTAACGTGCCAAGTTACACTTCTGAATTGCTTGCATGTAATTTAATTTTTTCAAAAGCTGTAGCAAAGCTGGGTGGTGGATGACTGCACAACACTTAAAATGTTCCATTTTTAATAAAGTGCCTCTATTTTGCACAATCTGAATTCCAGAGGAAACCTGGTATCATTTAGATTAGTATAAGCTGATTCTTTTTTAACTACAGTGAACTCAGCAGACAAAAGAGCTGTTAATGTAAAGCATTTGTAAAATATGTGTTTATATTTGCTGCTGTTGTAACTGGAAGTAGTCAGACATCTTACTTGGCAGAGAACAGGCAAAGCTATTCCCAGGCTTGCCAGGTACTGCTATCCTAGAGGAAAGCTCTCAGGTCACCTTTCATGGCTATACAAAGTCATACTGGATAATTCATTGGAGCTCTTCAAGTGGAATTTTATTTAACTTCATTTCTTTTATTTCTTTATAGTTGTAGCAATTAATAATCTAAACTGGCAAACAACAGCTATGTTCCGGCCATTTGTGGAAGTTTGCATATTAGGTCCTAACCTGAGTGACAAGAAAAGAAAACATGGAACCAAGACAAAGAGCAACACCTGGTCACCAAAATACAATGAAACTTTCCAATTGTAAGTCTTTTTTGTCTGTTATTGCATATATTATGCAAATTTTGTTAGAATTTCTTGCAGTTAAACTGGTAAGAACATAAAAACCCATCCTAAGGCCTGTCTACACATCAGAGTCCATAGATATAGACACCATTTCAAAATTATTTATTAATTTCTATCTTTGTTTTATATGAAGATGATATGACAGCCACTAAGTTTTCAGTCTTACAAAAGCTGGTTAAAAGGTACAATTGATTTCCCTA